TTCACTAGACTCTAAGGTCGGACCTTTGGTTTCTTTGCTTCCCAGTTCCTACGAACACCTAAAAATGCATTTTTTTATGCAACCACCACATCACGTGCCTAGGTGGCTCAGTCCGTTTATGCATCTGACTTTGGCTCAGGTCATGACCTCATGGTTCATGAGTTCGAGCCCTGTGTCAGGCTCTTCGCTGACAGTGCAAAGCCTGCTTGGGATTCTTGCTCTCCTTCCTCTGTCCCTCCCAGGCTTGGGCACGCACACAGGCGCGCTCTCGCTCTCTCTCTCACGATATAAATAAATAAACTTAAAATACAACCACACCATCACCACAACAGGTCATTGTTGAGTCTTGAAATAGAAGATGAAAGTTGGAAAAGATTAAATAAATGCAGAAACCATTCTCATATGGAATGAGAAATTTTACTTTGGAATGAAAAAAGCGGAAAAGGAATTATTGGATAGGAAAAGGAGTTATATTAACTTAGATTTATTAAAGGCATAAATTTACTTTCCAAGTAATTCCAAAGAACTTACCCATGTTTTTACCATGTTTTTACCAAGTAATTCCAAAGAACTTACCCATGTTTTTAAAGCATAATTTTAGAATAGTTTTAGATTTACAGAATTTAATCATTTTAACTCCTTTTCATAGGGCATAAATCAGAAAAAAAAATTTTTTGAATGAACACAAGGTATCACTTAAGATTCTAGACAACATATAGGAAGTTACAAAGCTGAACACGTAACACATTTACTTCTTCATGTCACAGTAACTGCTACATAAGCTAACGATTCTTTTTTTTTTTTTTTTATAAGCTAACAATTCTTTTTTTATAAATTTTTTTTTTCAACGTTTTTTATTTATTTTTGGGACAGAGAGAGAGACAGAGCATGAACGGGGGAGGGGCAGAGAGAGAGGGAGACACAGAATCGGAAACAGGCTCCAGGCTCTGAGCCATCAGCCCAGAGCCCGATGCGGGGCTCGAACTCACGGACCGCGAGATCGTGACCTGGCTGAAGTCGGACGCTTAACCGACTGCGCCACCCAGGCGCCCCCAAAGCTAACAATTCTTAACAATCCTTACAATAATGTTATGTCCCATAAGAATAAAAACACGGTATACTTACATCTGGAATTCCTCTGGGAGTAGATATATTAAAACCTGGATAGTTTACCAATTTCGAGAGATCATAAGTGACACTTTTATTCTGTTGTGCTTCTCCAGCTTCTGTTTCCCCATCAGCACCATCTGTCAGAGACCATCAGAAGGTTAACATTGCTAGATGCCAATATAAATCCCTCCCCGGACCAAAACTATACTAGGAAAGTACTTATATTCAAGGCAACAGAATTATTCTGAGAATAATTATTCTGAGAATGGCTTCAATCACAATGTTCTGGATCATTAGATTAGAAACTTTTAAACAATGTGGACAGAATACTTTGATAGTAAATGAATATTGAAAATCTTGGAAACCTGGGTTCTTCCATGGGTTTCTTAGAAGTCTAGTTTGAGCTGACCCAATGACCTGCCTGATGCTCTATTCCAATGTCTTCATTTAACAAACATTTATCTAAGTCTTATCATGTACCAGATTATGTTTTAAATGGCCTGTAAGTATTAACTCTGGTAATCTTCACCACAACCTTAAGAGGTATGTACTACTTTACAAAACCACTTTACAGATGAGAGAAGGATACTTGGGAAACACTTTATTATCTTGAAAACTACTAAGTAAATCATACGTTTATTTTGCCAGTCCTATGGTGTCTATATACGTAAGGTAATTAAATGGTTTATGAGAAGTTTCTCTTTATAGAAGTATTCTAGCTAATAAGCTAAGAAGTATTAAAAGAATGAGTATATAACCATTTTGCAACCCATCATTAGCAAGTATAGACAGGCAACGACCACTAGTGACTGATTCCATCACAATAAAGACAGGGACAGAGGAACGTGCTAAAATAACACACCATGGAGATGCATCAGCAAAATCTCGGAAACCCGAAAGGACAAAATGTGGCTTTGTTAAAAACAAGGAAGGGTATCTATAGATTAAAAGAGGCTTAGGATGGCTCAGCCAATTGAAATACATCCAAAAGACTTCAACCATCCACAACATTTATCCAAAGAATCTCTAATCAAACAAACTAAAAAAGAGAGAGAACTTGAGAAAACAACAGGAATTCAAGCACCTACAGAAAACTTGAATGCCTGCACGACTTGGGGATATATTAAAAGAGCTGTCCTAAATACCTCTTTGGCACTAACTGAAAAGGAGCAGCTTGGTGAATTTTTAAAAATATTGTTAGGGGCGCCTGGGTGGCTCAGTCGGTTGAGCACCCGATTTCGGCTCAGGTCGATCTCGCCATTCGTGAGTTTGAGCCCCGCATCAGGCTCTATGCTGACAGCTCAGAGCCTGGACCTACTCTGGATTCTGTGTCTCCCTCTCTCTTTGCCCCTCCCCTGCTCGTGCTCTGACTCTCTCTCTCTCAAAAATAAATAAACATTAAAAAAAAAAGTTAAAAAATGTTAAAAAAATAAACTAAAAAATAAAAATATTTTTAAATATCTAGGTAATATAGAGAAACATTTTCATTTTTAAAAGATTTAGGGGATTAGAGATAAACTATAATCTCAAGGCCAATCCTCTTTCTTTCCCCGGGGGGAACCACTGTTGAGTCTGCTGTATGGGTGAAGACTTTTTTAAAAAGTATTTATTTAACATCTACCACATTGCGGGTACCGTGCTATATGCCAGGGTATATACTGGTGAATAAAATATGAATGGTTTTAGCAATTACAAACCTGACTGTCTAGCTAGGAAAATAGAAGTAGAGAAATAGAACAGAGAAATAAATATACAGGGCATGAAAGAAACAGACAGGGTCCAGTGATAAAAGACTGGCAGGCCAATGAGAGATATACTTAAATAAGGTGGTCAGGAAAGGCTTCAATGAGTCTGAATCTAAAATCTAACTGGAGGGTGTCTCAGTCAGTTAAATGTCCAACTTCGGCTCAGGTCATGATCTCCCAGTTTGTGAGTTCAAGCCTCACATCAGGTTCTCTGCTGTCAGCCAGGAGCCTGCTATGGATCCTCTGTCCCCCCTCTCTCTGCTACCTGCTAATGCTCGCTCGCTCTCTCTCTCTCTCTCTCTCTCTCTCAAAATAAACGTTTAAAAAAATACTTTTGGGGTGCCTGGATGACTCGGTTAAGCGTCTGACTTCGGCTCAGGTCATGATCTCACGGTTCGTGGGTTTGAGCCCTGCATCAAGGTCTGTGCTGACAGCTCAGAGCCTGGAGCCCGCTTCGGATTCCGTGTTTCCCTCTCTCTCTGCCCCTCCCCACTCACACTCTGACTCCCTCTTTCTCTCTCTCTCAAAAATAAAGAAACATTAAAAAAAAACCCAAAATACTTATAAATCAGTCCTCAGAAAAAACACAGAGCACTGTTTCATCCACGTGGGATTCTCTGAATGACACGATAGGTATGTTGGGCAGAAACTCAGCATTGCACAGAGAGTTTGCCATGTCAGCTCACAGATGCACTCTCCTCCTTAATTACCACAGGGATCCCACAGCCCAGATCTACCACGGTTTAGTCAGCCATTCTTCTTTAGAGCCTTAATGTTGCTTTCAATTTCTCACTATCATATTCAATGCTACAAAAACACATACACATATTTCCCTTGTGCACATGTGTGATTATTCCTCTATAGCAGATACCTAAGGGAGGGGTTCTAGATTACGAGAGGATTTATGTATCCTGTATTTTAGGTCTCCTGGCATTCACTGATGAATAGATTTCTGTTACCACTTCTGAGCAAGGCAAGAGCTTATGAGGACCAGCTGGAGAGCTGATTCTTTGGCCTGCATAGTCAAATATCTGGAGCAGGTCCAGATAACCAACCATCTGGTAATTCTTGAGGTTTTAGTTCCTTCCTTGTAAAACAAAGGAAACACCATTGTGATAGTTTTTAGTTCCCTCAGCACACACTGATCAAGCCAGCCATTCCTATCAGATATTACTGTAGCTCTCTCGTTACACACACGTGCACGTGTGCACACGCGCGCACACACACACACACACTCTCTCTCTCTCTCTCTCTCTCTCTCTCTCTCTCTCTCACAATAACATTTGGGCCGACTTATCTAACTTCACATACTATACCTTTCCCATCATAGAGCGCAAGCCCGGAGCCCTCCAGCTCGGCCTCCTTGAGCCACCCCGGCGGGTACCCCAGCTGGCGCATTCGATATATAAAAGGTGGAAGGCTCTTGTCTGTCACGCCCAATGCATCCTGAAGTTCCTCGCTATGTAAAAACAAAAGAGGAATAAAAAAATACCGTATTCTTGTTTGGATTAAAACACATACCGTCCCCGATGTGTTAAAACAACTCCGTGTCATAGGTTCCACACAGTGACCCGGTGCTTAACAGATACACGGTTGAGATTGCAGTGAAAGTTTCTGAACGAACAGATGCACATTATCTAGGCGCTGCTAGAGCAGACCTACACACCGACCACCGCCCTCCGGATCACACCATCACCCTTTGGATACACAGAACATTCCAAATACTGATGAAGTCGAAATGACATTCTCCACTAAAACGACAGAGGTACCTAATGACTCCCGGCTTGAATCTTCCAAATCTCTCCTCCACCTCCTCCGCGTGGTATCGCTGCTGAAAATTCTGACTGTTTGTCTCACTGCAGGCGTCCAGATACGCTTTTCTTTTTTCACTTATCCGAGCAGCATTCCGAGGCTGGAGCATAACGCAGTTGAGAAAAATGGTAACGGGCAGTTTAGAAGTACTTCAGAAATTAAATAAAACTAAACACTGTTTCAGGTCAAGCAAACAAACTATTCCAGTTTTAATGTGTAACAAGTATAAAAGACAGTGTAACTATTAGAAAAATACAGCAAGGAAGAGAAGCAGTCATTTTAATTTGTTATCACCTCACAATTATCTTAACCTAAAATCAAGTTTTTAGAATCAACTCTAAAAATTAACTCTCATATTTCATTCATCTCAAATACAGAATACTGTAACAAGTTATTAGTTTTAAAAATCCAATGTCTTAAAATTTAAGTACAAACTTGAAAAGCTTTCAAATTCAAGGACCGAAAGAAAGTTATCGCAGCTAGCTTCTTCATCTCACACAATGCCAGAAATGTGCTGAAAACATTAGAAAGCTCTAATTCAAAGATTTTTTTTTTTTTATAGGAGAAAAATTTACCATTGGGCAATCTTTCATTTGATGTTCTTCAGAACCACAATTGAAACAGTGAGGCTTTGGCCTATTTGGTCAAAAAACAAAGATTTGCATAATGTAAATTAGACATAAAAGCAAATCAATACAATTATGACAGCAAAGTGTATCAGAGAGAAAGAAAGCACGCAGATCACAGATTACAAACATCTGCAATAGTGAGGACGCTTTCACCTCCTGTACTCAGTGGTTTAAACAAACAGGACTTTTATCCGAGTCTTTTAACCAAGAACCCTTACGTTCCCAACTAATCTGTCACCTCTGGGTTTTGTCAGTGGTTAATAACAGAAGAACCGAGGCAAACAGATTGTATTTCCTTTAGGTGACTCAGGAAGGGGCAGATGGTTATAAGACAGCAACCAAACTGACAGCAACAATGACACTTTCCACCCACCCAAGCATATCAGGCGTGAACCAATGAATTCCAATAAACACATGACTAATTTAAACATTTAATATGTCTACATATTAAAATTCTAGCTCAATCTATAACTTCTTTATAGTAAGCCAGCAATAAAGAATATTAATTTTTCAAGCTAAAAGAGTTTATGGTTTTGGTTAAAAAAGTTTTAAAAAGAAGAAGGAAACAAAAACAACTCCCCACACAAACCTTTTTGCCTTTACTTGTATTTCTTGCCCTTCTAGAGAAACAATGTGGCTGAAGACTTGCTGGTACCTTTAGTGAATTTTATTAAGGAACAGTTATCATAGTCTGCAAAATTTGGTCAATTTTTTTAAAAGGTGAACTTAATGGCAAGATGCATAAAAGATCTTCATTCACTATGTAGGATACTTAGGTATTTCCCATCCTTCGGTAAGCTGAGGGTTTTCATTTAGAAGCGGTTGCCCCAATTTATCAAGGCAAAAATTAGTAAAATACAGGACACTTCCTACAACCTGCAGAAAACAAGTCAAAAAATATTGCTATTTAAGCAGGAAAAAAAGACATTAAATAATGTAAGACTATGATTAATTGTTTTAACGCTTTAATTTTGGAGGAAATGATTAGAAGTCATACTCAACTCCCTAAAGGAGCCAGATTTGGAGGTGCAGGTAAAAAGCTCCATCTTTAAATGCCCCTGTGTCGCCGAGGTCACAGTTTCCCTCTCCAGGAGATGGTGACCATCAGCTGCACTCTCCTCAGACTTCAATCACCCGTCTCCTCGCTTCCCTTGGTAGCAAGACAATGCAGAAAAGTATTTACTATTTCCTTCCCCTCCCGCTCACTCTTTTCCTTCCTCTCCAATTCGGGGGGCGGGGAGGAATTCATACAGAAAACTCGAGAAAATGCTACAGTAAACACCCAGGTATGTACTTACTCTCTTAGATCCAACAATTGTGGATACCTTACGTGCACACACACGTACACACACACACAAGTACACACGCACACTTACTTTTTACTGAGCCACCGGGAGAAAGCAAGCCACCACCATCATCTTCGTCTAAGCCATTATTGTCTCTTGCCTGAGATTAATATGGTAACTTCCTAACGGGCTTCCAGCTTCTACACATAACCAGCGACAGACTACTTTCGTGACACTTCATCCCTAAACACTTCAGGATGGGTCTTCTGAGCACAAGAACATTCTCCTACAAGCCACAATACCACTGTCACACCTAAGAAAGTTAATAAACTCTTAATATCATCTATATCCATTCTGTACTCCGTTTTCCCAACTGGTCCCAAAATGCCTTTTCTAGGCTTTATTTTTTTTCCAAGCAAGAACTTAAGGTTCACATGTTGCATTTAGATGGTGTTGATTTAATCTCTTTTCCTCTAAACCAGCCCCCCACTTTTTTCCTCAGATGGCCCTGCCATTCTCTCTTGAACATCTCCAGAAAGGCTTCTGCCTCCTTCATGGTGCTAAGCTCCCCCATGGGCCCCATGCAGCCAAATTCAGTGGACGGCTCAGTCTTCACCTTAACCTGTCAGCAACGACGGACACAGGTCAGTCACTTCTTCTGGCTTCCGGGACACCATTCTCTCAGTGTTCTTCCTACCTTGCTGACCAATCCTTCTCATCTCTCCATCTTCTGTGAGACTCAGTCCGGTCCCCCTCTCTACCTGCACTCTTGAGGTGATTCGTCCAGGCCCATGGTATGAAGTACGAATGTATGGGACACCCCAAATATCCGGTTCTGCCTCAACTCCAATCTTGTAGATTCAAGTGCCAACTGACAGGTTTCCGGGACATGCAAACTCACCTATTTAAAACTGAACCAGATTCCCATTCCACTCCAAAGCTACGCCTCCCACCAGTTTTTCCCATCACAGGAAAGGGAAGGACCTCATTCTAGCTGCTCAGACCAAAAACCTGCATCGTTTGGACGACTCCCTCGCTTTTGTGTTCTATGCATCCAATTCGTCAACACATTTGGTCAGTTCTACCTTCAAGGTAGATCCAGCTTCTAACCCCTGCTCACGTCCAGCCCTGGTCTTCTAGACTGACCTGCCATCTTCTCTCACCTGAGATCAACAGAGTCACTTAGCCAGTTTCCAGCTTCCACATGTAACCAGCTACACACTGTGTAGCTCTTTCAAAAGAAGCCAGCTCTTTCAAAAATTCAAGTCGTATCATGTCACATTTCTACTTAAAATCCTCCAGGGACTTCTCATCTCAGAGTAACACCCAAAGCCCTTACTATTGCTTATGAGGCAATATAAAGATTTCGATCTGCTCCAGAATCAGAAGGCCTGGATTCACGCCCTGGCTTTGTCACTTACTAGCTAAGGGACTCAGGGCAAGTTACTTAGCTCTCCACATCTGTTTCCTCATCTGTAAAAAGAGAATACTAGTAGTACCTTCACGAGCATATCTGTAATGAGCTTCGAACAGTACCTGGTAAACAGTGAGCAACATGTCAGTGTGCCCTTCTGACCCAGGGCTTTCCACTCACTGTTCCTACTGCCTGGAGTCTGGAATACTCTCCACTGCATGATGGCTCACTCCCTCAATTTATTCTGTTATCGGCTCAGAGAGGCTGTCGCTATCTACTCACCATACAAACCAAACGCCCCACAGTTACCCTCTAAGTCCTTAGCCTCACCTATTTTCTTGCCCCACTAGAATGTAATTCAATGAGAGCAGAGACTTTGCCCTTTTTTTTCGTTGCTGTCTCTGGAACCCAGAAGGGTCCCTGACAAGGGAACATTCTGTATTTATTAGTATTTATTAAAGAAGTAAATTAATAATACACAATAGTCCCGCTTTCCAGGCAGGTACCACTCTCTAGCCCAGAACCCTAGAGTTAGAAGGGACAGGAAGAGTTACATAGTTCAAATTCTTTCTTTAAAGCGCCTTGATAGCATCTCAGTCTTTGACTTCTTCGGGTAATGTGGAATCTGCTTTCCTTAAACGAGTCCGACCACTTCGTATTCACATCTCTGACAGAAGTTTGCACTGAAGGCTGAGTTGCACTGTGCCTGCTTGTGGTCCACGCAGTCGCTGGTCCCGGTCCTCCCACCCGGCACCACACAGAGTGATCTAACATGACGCCTCGATCACATCTGCAGAGACACGCTATCCCCTGTCAATCTCTGCAGTAAGGCTGTGCGCGCTTCACAGTCCCAGCGGCCCCATGTCCTTAAGATTGTGGTAGGTCAATGGGGCACGTCACTCCCTACACATGAAAACTAGTCTGCCTCGAACAGAATCCAGGATTTCATCATCATCTGAAAAAAACCGAAGTTGCAAAATCACACCGCTACATTGCACTGACACGGTGGAATTCCGCACAGGTACCAAAAGGCCTAAGGGCAGGCTTATCCCTGTCATGCCTCTTCGATTTTTCACCGCCATTTGAGTTTGTCAACATTTTTAATCTCCTATCTGCCATCTGTTACATTGCTTACTTATCCTTCCCCATCTGTACGTGCAACAAGCACGCGCTCCAGATCATCATCCGCGTTCATGAAACGCACGTGCAAAAAAAGTTCGTCAGGACAAAAATAAAGTCCTCCAACGTCTGTCTATCGTGTATCCAGTAATTATTAGAAAGTGAACCATATTATCTAGAGGCTGAAGCCTAAACTGTTGCTTGTAACAAATTTCATGAAAGGGTGGTGATCATCTGATGACACATGGCTATGCCACCTTATCATTTCAATGCCACCCAAATGACACAGGATAGAAAACATATTTTTGCAGGATTCAAAACTAAAATGTCCAAACTTACACTAAAAGCTTCCTTGTTGTTTTTAATGGCACACGATTCTTCCACTTTATGGTCCTCTTCTAGCATAACACTAGATGGCTAACACAAAGAAAAACAGTTATAGAAGGTAACCAATTTTTAACTAGTTCAAATTTCAAATATTAGAAATTTAAACACACCCCTTTATTTTCTAATACATACCACTAAGGTATATAAAGTTCTGAATTCAACATTGTCACAATTACGGTAAGTTTGAAAGCTAGGGAGGTTTGTGAAATAAATTTCACAAGAGGGAGAATTTAAAAATTACAAAAGATACAAAAGACAGCGCCTTCTGAAGCATTAGTGTAGACTATGACTTTTGTGTTACTGAATATTAATTTATGTATTAAATTGAATGAATTAAATATTTAAACTCTCAACACTGTGGAATACTACGTGGCAATGAGAAAAAATGAAATATGGCCTTTTGTAGCAACGTGGATGGAACTGGAGAGTGTGATGCTAAGTGAAATAAGCCATACAGAGAAAGACAGATACCATATGGTTTCACTCTTATGTGGATCCTGAGAAACTTAACAGGAACCCATGGGGGAGGGGAAGGAAAAAAAAAAAAAA